TGGATGCAGGACTTTGAGGCCTTCCAAGACGCTCTGAACCAAGAGACGTCGTACGTCAGCAACCTGACCCGGTCCATGAGCCTGGTTCTGGACGAGTTCTACACCAACCTCAGGGTAACATTCACTTTAACGATCGAAGGACTCCTTCAGGAGGAGCCTGTTAGGAACAGAGGTTCTGCTCAGAGGTCCGGGTTCCTGACCTGTGTGTCGGCAGGTGGTGGGCGTGTCTGCGGTGACAGGAAGTGGTCTGGATGAGCTGTTTGTTCAGGTGGAAGATGCTGCCATCGAATATGAAAGGTGAGTCAGAACCTGCAAACGGTTCGAGTCAGAGAACAGAACTGAATGTCTCTCCCCTGCAGGGACTACCGGCCTGAATACGAGCGACTGCGCAGGCAGCTGGTGAGTCCGTCCGTCCGTCTGTCCGGCGTTCTGAGCCCGGTTCTGTGTGTCTGGGTTTCTGACCGGACCTCCTGTCCACCAGGTGGAGGCGCAGAGCAGGAAGCAGCAGGAGCAGCTGGAGCGGCTCAGGAAGGACATGGGAGCGGTGGACATGAGCTCCGCTGCAGCCAGAGGTGCAGGACGGAACCGACCTGCCAGACCCGGTTCTGGTTCGGTTCTGTTCTAACTGATTGCATCCGCTTACAGAGGACGCTGACCTCGCTGGACCCAGTGACCTCATCATGAGCCGTGGTATCCATGACGACAGCGAGGAGGAGGTGGAAAGCGACACGGATGACATCGACCACACAGGTGAGGAAACACCTGGTGCCGGTCCGCCCGGATCAGAACCAGAACCGGTGAATCCAGTGAGGGGATTAGATCCAGTGTTTCAGAAGCAGAAGGTTCTGACCCACTAAGGATTCTGGGTTTGATGAAGAAGAAACAGGCGGTTCTGGTTCTGGTTCTGGTTCTGGATCAGGAGTGATGATGAAAACATGGAGACAGAACAGAACTTTGGGCCCGTTTTTCTCCATCAGAACCGAGGTGGAAATGGGTCAGTTTGACCCTCCATTTGAGTTCTACATCGAACCGTCTCAGTTAGATCAGAAAGTTCTGGTTCTGGTCCAATGTTGTGCTTTGGACCAGTACCTTTGGTTCTGTGTTCAGAATGGGATGGAGAAGCGAGTCTCTTACATTTGGACCGGTTCTGCTCATGTTCTGCTCTAAACGTTTCCAGTCTTCATTGGTTCTGTTAAAGTTCTGCTTTGGTCCAATAGGGACGTTTGATCAGAACCACGGATCCAGAGCGCCTCTCTGGAACTTCTACATCCTTCCTGTTAATATTGTTCCGAACGCCAGAGGATCTCTGCGATCTGATTGGTTCCTGTGGTTCTGCTACATGAAGCTCAGAGAACCAAAAACATGGTTAAAGAACCGGGTCAGATGTTGTTTCTGGGTTCTAAGCTCAGTGAGAGC